TTGTTGTCTTTGAAAGTTTTGAGCATAATTTACATCCTCTAGTGATTGAGCAAAAGGACTATCCACGACGCAATCAACACCTTCATGATTTCCTCCACTGTGCTTGCATTTTTGTCTAACTATTTGAATGGCATTCATCTGATCCACCTTTTTAGCTAAAGCTGCCAGCTGTGCTGAGATTGCTGTTAATGGATCCACCTAATGTATCGCATCCACTTTCTTTACATTTGTTCTTTCAATAGGCCATAGTGCACTAGTGAATGCTAAATCTTCCATGATTTGATATACTAGATCCGTTGTTCTCTTTGTGATGGAACCATTGCATGCGGAGTCAACATTAGCCCTACTTGTAGGATTTAGTCCAATGTAGAAGTATTGCACTAGAAGCCACTTCTGCAATCCATGTTTTAGGCACTGGCAAAGTAAACCCTTGTATCATTCCCAAGCCTTTGAATAGTATTTTGAGTCCATTTGCTGAAAAGTAGTGATCTCGTCCCTTAGCTTTGCAATCCTCTTCGGTGGGAAATATTTGCTAAGAAATTTCTGATTCAATTGGTTCCATGTTGTGATGCTCTGTGGTGGGCAAGTGTCTAACCATTCCCTTGCTAAGTCTCTCAATGTGTATGGGAAAAACCTTAATCTAATTGCTTCGCTTGAAACCCCCCAGATACTTAATTGTTGCACATATGTCCAGAATCTTGATATATGAGCATTGGGATTCTCTGTAGCTTTCCCAAAAAATTGTAGCGCATTTTGGGACATGTTGATGACATCTACTCTCAAGTGGAAGTTTGTCTGACCAAATACCAGATATACGATACTGGACTGACTTTCCACTACTGGTGGAATCATATACTCTCCCATGAGCCTTGCATTTTCATTCACTACAGCTATATTCAATTGTGCTACTCCCATATTAGCCTCGATGGCTATTTGATTTGAATTCGCGTTTGCCATGTCTTTTTCTTTCTGTTTTTGGCGTGTTTCAAGTTGTTGTCTTCTTTGAAAGTTGAATGTTCGTTCGATTTCTGGGTCAAATTGAGCAAGATCACCAATTCTCGAACTTCGCATACAAAATCATGAAAAGGAAAGCAAGAAACACTGTAAAAATTTTCTAAATTAATGAACTAAACTAAAAATAAAAAATAAAATTAGATTAAAGTTAAAATTAACTAAAACTAGTCAAAAAAATATAGTCCTCGACAATGACGTCAAAAACTTGGTCGTTTGATTATTTGCAAGTGAACGGGATTGTGAGCAAGTAATAAAGTAGTCTGTAGAGTGTCAAACCCACGAGGACTGTGTTTGATCTAGTTAAAATTAATAATACCCTTAATCGAATAATAAAATCAAGTTATGACTAAACAATATTAAATCTGGCAACTAAATTGAAAGCAAAGTAAGAATTTATCAAATTCGTGAGAAGTATTGCTAAGATGTGAAGTCCCCCTTGCTAATCCATTTTTAGTTCGACAATTTAAATTGACAATTTGAAATCATGCTTGTTGATCAATGTTCCTATTTTAATTGAAACCCTCTCTCGATAGTTATCAATTTTATTTCCTTCATGCGACCTCCTATCCCTCGATAAAAGATGAGAACATGATAAATGCATTAAATGATCTAGAACATTTTATGAAAATCATATGAAGCATAGAGGTATATCTCTATTCTCTATTGAACCTCACAATATTTATTACTATGTGCTAACGATCTTATTACCTCTCTCGATGATAATAAAATTCACAAACAATTCAAATTCAACTAATGACCAATTAATTGAAAAGCATACTAAACCATAATAAATATCCAAACAATTAAACAAATTAATTTCAATTAAATTATTCAAATTAAAAATTCATAACAAGTGTTCATCACATCCTAGCAAATATGAAAAATTAGCCTAATAGATTGAAATTATAAGAAATCATATATAAGTGGAAAGACATAACCCGGGTTTTTGATAAATTGTGAATATGAAGATACATTTTGAAATCTTGAATCTCCTCAATGGTTTCTTAATGAATCTCCACTTGCGCTCTCTCTTCTTTGTCTAATACCAAGTTTAAATTTTTACTTGATTGAATTCTTGCAAGTCCCCTTCAATTCTCTCACAAAAACAATGAACTCTCCTCCTTCGATAATGATAATTGATGAATATTGGAACATATTATGTATAAAAGATATGTATGAAAACCCCCTTCATGTATTTTCCTGTTGGGTATCTGTAGTGGCCGAAAATTGGTGAAAAATCACGCCCAAATTGGTTTCCAAAAGAGTTTCAATCGAATAAGGAAAGTTATACTCGTGCGCGAATTTTTTGTCTCTGCACAGTAATTAGTATCTCGATCATAACTTTGTCTCTCAATATCCGATTGAGTTGATTCAAAATGCGTTAGAAATCTAATTAAAAAAGATACAATTTTCATAGAGATAGATATTTTCCAATTCGAACGTTTACTATGCCTAAAATTGGTCGTAATCCTTGACAAAAAATCTGGAAGATATATCATGTAAATGGAAGTCGATTTATGGTAATATTATGATGATATTCCATTCATTTTTGACTTCTAGTTGCATCCAATTAACTCCCATCAATCTTTAAAATATCTTTTATGGTTCAATTCCACCATTGGATATTTGTAATTTGGTCCTTAACTTTGTACTTCTTTGTTTTTCGTCGTTTTTTCGCTTCTTTGTTTCAATTTAACTTACAATCATCAAGTTTTACCTAATAAATGAAATATACAATAAATTAGGCTATAATTGCTTTAAAGAACTATTAAATGTCTATATCTTTAGGTCTATATAAGTGTATAAAATACACTTATCAAATCCTTCAAAGGGTTTGTTTAAATCCTTCAAAATATTTGCCACTAATATTCACTATCAAACTTATATGAGAGGGGACTTATATTTTAGTACAACATTTTTTTTGATACTCAAGTGTTGGTTTATTTGGAGTTTTCGGTTTAAGTTTGGTTTCTTCTCCATTTTCCTATGCAGTTTCCAACCAAAAATTAGAAGTTCTTGGAACTTTCCGCTAGTCGATCGACAGAAAAGGAACCTGAACTTTTCACATTTTTCATTTAGGACCTCGTAGGAAAAATTGGAAAGTTTGAGAACTTAAATAGAAACTTTTCATTCTGGATAGACTTAAGTGAAAATATTGAAAATATTTGTTTAGCTACAAAAATGAATAATTTATGAACAACAACAACAACAATATATGTCTTATTAACTAAAAATAATAATAATAATAATAATAATAATAATAATAATAATAATAATAATAAATAAAATTTTGAGGCATAATAGGTAAAGTTAAGCAATGAGCTTAGCAATCACACATTAAAGTCCAATATTTTTAATGATGAATTTGGTACGGAAACGTCATATTTGGTTTAAGAATATCTAATTTCAACCATATTGTGAAGTTTGAGCCCCTGTTTGATTCTTATTCTTTGACCACAAAAATAAAAGATATGATCACTATTTATTAGGTCAAGTCATCATATTTGACTTTCAATCTTTTGTGTGGATCCCGCAATAATTATAATTTTCATTCACATTCGCAAATCTATGGGAATCAAACGGGGCCTGAATAAGTTGTGTGCTTCGTACTTATGAGTGTTGGCTTACTATTACAGTACGACCAATTCGATGAAGAAAATGGAGTCTAAGAAAGTGGTTCAAGTAACTCAGCAGGTTGGAGCAGAGGACTAAAAATCCAGCTCGAGAGTTGCCCATTTTGTTCGACACGAATGTTGCAGTAATTTAGGCCGTGTGAACAGTAAATTTGGATAAGATATGGATGTCAATAAAATTCTAATCTCAAAGCATCTCAACCTATCACGAGTCCTCGCTTCTCCAGATCTTGTCTTACCTTAGTCATCTCTCTCTCTCTCTCTCTCTCTAGCATTATTGCTCAATCCACCACCACACAGCACATCTCTCTTAGTCAAATAAATGTCCCCACTTAATTAGGTAGTTGTACATTGCAGTTTAGGGTTATTTTTTTCGTGAATAAATTAGTAATTTTATCGTGGAGGCACTAATAGATTTTTTTATTTTTTTATTTTTTAAGACTATTGAGTGTTTGGTGGGAATTAAAATTAGATTTTGATAGAAATTTTTGAAATGTGTAGTTAAAAAATTGTGAGACCTATAAAAAATGTGGATAATATTGATTGTTTAACTTTGTTCAAGAAACAAAAAATTTCATAAAACCCAAGACTTGCTAGAATAATTAGATTTGCATTTCAACTCATAATAAATTAATCCCAGAATGGGATAGTGGACTTTTGACCTTGAGAGTGATTAATTCGCAATTCCAAGCCAACGTTAATACAAACTTACCGATTTCCTTTCTTAATCTACATGCTTTTCTTGTTGGTTTGTAAGTTTTCAACCTTCAAGCCTTCTTTGGTATTTCTCCAAGATGTCACTGAATGGCGAGTAGGCGTTAGGAATCTCCAAAAAGCAAATCCAAGAGCAAGATTCTAGAATCCAAGCAGGATAGACTTCCCTGGCCATCCCATAGACCTCATATAGCTCTAGGGCTGCAACTAGTTGTCTGTGGCGGATTCAGCTGCTAGTGAGCACCCGCAGCCGTGCTTGTTGGATCTGTCGGTAGCCATTTTTTTTGGTTGACAATGGATAAATGTTTAGCTTATATTATTGATAATACATTTTCAGTTCAAATGTTGCTTTTAACCAAGTTGGTTAGACTTGACATTTCCATCTTATAACAAATCCTGGGTTTGAATTTTTTGTAAATCCATAATATTACACATAGATTCAAAAAATTTCCTTATTTTTAACCACATATTCTCCATCAAATTACTATTCCAAAATGTATCATCTAACGAGCTCTTAATAATTTATTACGATCAATGGTCAATGACCGTCCGTGCTGACTTAAAATCCTGAATCCGCCACTGATTATTTCATGTTCTATTTGGCCTTTTCACATTTTCAGTTCATGAACTTCCATCACGTAATGCAATTAAATTTTCATTACTTTTAAAGGTTATCAAAGGGACCTGAATAACTTACATGTTTTAGGTCCAACAGTTGAACCACGATCAACATGATCCGATACCATACAAAATAATTATTACTTTCTACCCATTCTACTAAAGGTGAGAGCCTCAACTCTCGAAATATATAAAATCACGGTGAGCAAAATATTTCAAATCCCATAATTATATGCTCTATATTCAGGTATCCCAACTTACACCAAACTAAATTCTGGACCTCCAAGACCCATGCCCCTAGAACCTTGGAGGGGATAAATCGCGGGATATGCCTCAACTGATCACAAGTTCCCCCCATTGACTGTACACTTCTGCGCACAAGAGACCCTCCTCCACAGTGATTGCTCCATACCAAATTTTTGGCCGCAGGTTCCCACCAGGAATCGAACTCTCCACCCACTGGAAGCAAGCCAATGTTGATTGATCCACCAGTTGAACTGTGCCCCGAGAGGCTCTTGACTTGTTTTCTTTATATCTTATCCCTTTTGACGTTCAATAATTAAAGTCAAGATAAAATGATCACTTTCACTCTTCCAGTTATTTCTTCACTTTGAGTTAGGTATTTCTTAAATTTTTTTTATTATTTATTTATTTATTTATTTATTTTTTGTGATTCAATCATGGAAATAAGATTCGGGTAACCGTGAATGCTAAACTTAGATTTCATTTGCTAACTAAGCCCCCCGTTTGCCCTTATTCTCATCTCATTTTTTTCTATTTTTTATTTTCAACCACACAATCTTCCATAAAATAATATTACACGCAAATTAAAAACTTGTTATTAAAAGAGTACGTTATTTTTCAACATGTACATTATTTTTCAAGTGGACATAAGGGAGAATATTTTGTCACACAAAATATTCTTTTACACATGTAAAGGAAAACAGTTCCTAAAATACATTTGCTATTTCCAATAAATATTGGCAAAGTTTATGGGGACTCGAGATCATTGCCATGTGATCAGCATCTTTTATTTCCTTAACTATTGGCGTTTCAAAATTTTTAATTAGCCAAAGTTGAAATTCTTTCGGTATGCCTTTATCCGAAGCACATATGATGAAAGCACGCTTTACAGATCCATAACCTTCATTGGAAAGTGGACTGCTGTTCGACAATTCGTCCAGGAAAAGAGACGTCGGTCTCACCAATGTTTTTGCTAAGTTCAGATCCTAACATAATGGATTATAACATTTGTTAGTAATCAATTTATAGCTATATTTTACTTCGATTCCTAAACATTTCCTTTGTTCCAAAGTAGTCATCAATTAAACTTTCATCTTCTAATTTGCTATTTAAGGCATTTTAGTTGTAAATTAATGGAAACATTAACTTTGAAAATGTAGTATATATAAACACTATCAACTTCATGTTGCATAAAAACTAATGTTTTTTTTTATGACGGAAGAACCCGCAGCCGCTATTCTTCGAGTGCGCACTAGGTAAAAATGTTTTCAAAAGCTAAAATTGTTTAAAAATGAATCTTTTTGTTCATCTATTTTCTGATTTTATTTTACCTCTGGAGGGGAAAGTTGATACAATCTGGTCGACATGAACTTGGGGCCAAAAAGAACTGCTGTACGATTATCTTCGGGTTTTCCATAATATATGGTTTGAGTGTCCAACAAATACTCCATCGTGTACCGTTTGAAGTAGTGCCAAAACAAGTCAATTAAATTAATTTAAAATTATCGATAAGAACAAATTCGATCTGTCCGCTCAAATAAATTTGAGTTAGGTCTCTATTCTCTAATCAATTGTTAGTAAGCCTAGGATAATAAGCAATTGTAAGGTATTTTTACCTGTTCCAAAACATAGGATGGCCTGTGGACGGTATCTGGCATATAAGCAGTAACAAAAACAGCAACAGAAATCTTTTGAGGGTATTTATCCATTGCAAAAGCTAAGTTTATCCCACCATAACTATGTCCAACTAGAACTACCTTTTCGTCTGGTGGAATTGACTCCATTATCTCGAACAACGGCAGTGTATAGTCGATAAATGTGGGAACATCCTTTAGGCTTTTCGGGTCCATGCCGGAGGCTGCTGAGAAATCAATCACCGTTACACGGTGGCCGGCCGCCTCCAGTAGTGTTTGGAGCTTGAACCAGCACCAAGCTCCATGGCATGAACCATGTATGAGAACGAAATGCTTTTGTTGCTTTCCTTCCATTTCTTTAGCTTAATTAGTGTATATCTTATGCAGATATATATCTGTATTTATAGATATAGATGTGTGGTAGTCGGAGAAAGAGAGATATGATAAAAACATGTACGAAATAAAATTATAGAAAGTTTGGACCACTGTAATTTCGTAAAAGAGAATTCATTTTGAAATTGAAATGGTCCCTGGAAAAAAAAAATGATCATCATGTTCACGCAATGTCAAATTTTATGTTCAATAGCCCCCCAAGGCATATCCAAGTTGGCGGAACAATCACATTGAGGGACTCTGGAACCAAGCGTGGGGAGTTCAATTCCTGGTTGGAGCAGCTAAGTGTTGTAATAACCAGAGGAAGGGTTGGAGCAGCTTGGTGATGTAATAACCATGAAGGAGGCTCCATTTGGGGAAGGAGTAAAAGCCATGTGGGAACCTGGGAACCAACGAGGGCACAACCTGCGATTTACCTTCCTGAGCAGCTGAGGGGTCGGAGGTTCAGGGACGAGAATATAGTCTGGCGCAAGCTGGGACACCTCGTTAAAAAAAAAAAAAAAAATTTATGTTCAATAAGTTTTCAAACTCATTGATTGTGAAATGTTCTTGTTACACCATTTCATACGATGACAATGAATTTAGTTTTTTACTTTTTTTCAGTTAATTACTATGTAAATCATTGATTTTACATATCGACTAATTTCTTAAACAAGTAATTAATTTTTGTTTAAAATAAGTTCTTGCTGTCAGAGAATAGAATAAGAAAAAAAAAGACGTATATTGAAATGAAATGTGATATGGGACTTGCAAATCTCGATTCGCCTCGTGTACTTCATGCTATCAAGGTTTTACGAGTCTGCCTCACAAGATATACTTTTTCAAGATTAAAATAGCACAATAGTAAACTTGTCGAGCGAACAACAATTTGATATTACTCTTTTTGCTGAGAATATCAAAGCTCATTATTCGAATTTGTGAGAACTCGAAAATTTAGCATACAAACTGCTGCTTTATCTTTAGCTCATGAACAAGGGATTGGCTGGAAGTCTTTGGTTCGATTCCAAAAAGTAGGGGACAAAAAAGTTTCTCATATGTCCATTTTAATTGTTGGTTAAAATTTTAACAAGTGGATATTTATTTTGTAATTGAAATTTGGATTTGGATTTTAGTTTCCTAGAAGATTTATTTCTTATATTTTCTTCAAGTTTGGAAGCCCGAGAATTTTTCCCTTCTTAGAGATTTACTTACATCGATTGTTGCTCTTCTAATTAATTGTATAAACGCACAAATTTGAAGTTTGATTCTAATTAATTCATGCATATCTATATCACTTTCATGAATCATCGTCACTTATAATAAACCAACAAGTAATTTAAAAAATTAAAGCAAAAATACAAATGTACTTTATTGCATTTCTGACAACATATACAGCTGTCTTTAACGCTTTAGTTGACATTTAGAATAGTGTTTAAACACTCCCCAATAGTATCATAGTTGTGTACATTATTTCTCAACGACTAAAGAAAATAATTCTTAAAATTTATTTTGCTAGATCCAATAAATATTTGCAAAGTATGAGAGGTATTGATATCATTGCCATGTGGTCAGAGTTTATCTCTTTCACTATTGCGGCTCCGGTGTTTTTAATTTGCCAGCGTTGGAACTCTCATGGATTGGTTATATCTTCGTCGGCTATGATGTAAGCACACTTTACATATCCAAACCTTTCCTTGAAAAATGGGCTCCTATTTGACAAATCTTGCGTAAAAAAAGAGGTTGGCCTTACTAACGATTTTGCTAATGCACATTTTGTACTTCTAGCATATATTTTCTAGTTCACAACACCAGGTGCAAACTATTCATCGTAATCATGGCATTTCCAAATTCCAAGCAAACCTAACTTTGTTTGAATCAGCTACTGTTACAATTTCTACAGAAAACTTTGCAACAAGAAACCAAAATTTTCAACATTTTTCTTACAAAATGTGTGACAAGAGAAAGGTTACACTCTAAGCTTTCTTATTTTATGGACGAGTGATGCATTTCCCGTGCAGTAATATTTTTTCCTCAAAGAAAACGAAAATTGAACAATTTCACCTCAATGAAAGATCTCCGCTATCTTATTACCAGGTACGAAGGTAGCCCTCAAGATGTAGCATTATTGTTAATGCCAGATCCTAACATAATGGCATTTCCAACATATATCTGTATATATAGAGAAATGTGTGGTGGTAGTCAGAGAAAGAGAGAATTGATAAAAACGTGTGCAAAAATAGTTGTGCAAAGTTAGGAACGGTTTTAAAGAGAATTAATTTTGACATTGAAGTAAGAGGAGTGGTCCATTAATAAAAATAAAATAAAATAATAATAATAATAATTATAGAAAGTTAGGACCATGTAAAAGAGAATTGTCTAAAACGTGAAATCGAAATGAGTAGGGGTCCATA